AAGTGGTTCAACTCGGAACATGGGTACACAGACGCAGAACGTGGGTTACTGAAAAATGTTTTTAAAGGGGTACCACAGAAAGCATGTGAAGAATACTTTGTCAGTCTGAGTGACACTAGGTGTTGTCCCAAACGTGTGGTGTAGCTGTTGCACCTATATATCCCCCCCCATGTCGCTTAGTGCTGAGGAACATATACGTTATTTGTGGAAGAATGTGAATCGTTTAGGTTGGTAATTTTAATGTCGGAGAAGAAGGATTGTGGTTGTGGCACTGGCCAACAACACTCCACCCTTTTATGCCCCCCGGGTAACCTGAAAGAATGTATCGATTGGATTCTTAGGGTGACTAATAAGGATAATGGGCAGAATGGTGATCAGAATGGCAACGGTGCCAAGGAACTTGGAGAGAAGGTAAAGGCGTTACTTGAAAAAGCTAATGAAGCTGCCAAAAAGAAACTTGATGAGGATAAACAAGTGTTCAATAAAGTAATAACACAGTTGAATGGTAATGGTACATTGATCACCGAATTGGCCAAGAAGTTGGCTACATTCATTGGTTACAATAATGGTAACTTGAACGGTAGTGGTATAGGTAACAAAGGTAATGGTAGTGGTGGTGGTACAAAGTACACGTCTGTTTACAGTGATAAAGCCACCTGGAAGAAGGAGCAAGCCGCTTCTTGCGCTCGCATCTTCCTCGGCACTATCCCCGTAATTTTTTCAGGGCTAAGTTATTTGTATTGGCAGTGCCATGAAAATGGTTCTAGGTGGTCCACTCATAAAATCACCGGCACCGACACTCTTGGCATCTATTTCGCCTCCTGTGGTTATAAAAGTGATGACTTGAAAAGTGATAAGAAAGGTTCGGATATCAAAACGTTACTTGACGGTTTCACTGAATTCAACGGTACTGCCACTTCCACCGTCACCGACGCCTACCCCGTGTACATCGAAAAAGTACTAACCAACGCCTCTAACAAACCAGAGCAATACCCCCTCTCCAGCCTCTACATCGCATCGCAATACTATTTCCAATCGCAATTCAACGATGGCACCCGTGTTCCAACCACCATCAGAGAAATGCTCTATTGGCTCATGGCTCTACCATATAGTGGTTGTTTCCAACATGCGGAACAGGAAGTTAAGAATGGTATAAATAAGCATACCAATGCGGGTGGTATTATACCATTCGAAGGGGGTCCCACCTTAAAGCCTACTGATCCCCTCGATTGTCTTATATCAACCACTTGCCATTACACCGCTGTGGTCCTATCCACTATCCAAGGGAAATTGTGTAGTCCCAATACAACTACAACGACAGATGAGACAACCAAACCAAATCCAACCAACATTCATGATATCTATTCCAATTCCCACTTCAAATTCAATTACCCGAACACCGTCACCGATTGGTTCAATGAACTGTGGGATGTTGTGTATGCACTAATGTCTCAATTATATTTCCTCCGAAGACAATGTGCAACGAGTATTGATAAAGGTTGCGGTTGGCGGTGGTGTAGATATGGTAGTGAGATCAAATATCAAAATAAGATAGACAGTGATGGGCCATTGCAATCATGGATTTGCAAGGGTATTAAGTGTACTGATCACACCGGTGGTAGCAATTGCGCCACTGAACACAAACAATGCGGCCAATCCCATGCCTCCCCCCTCCAAGCTTTCCTTACAGATTGTCTAACCGGTTTCCGATGTGACAAACTCCCGAATAACGGTGGCCCATACTTATCCTATTCCATTCACCAATTCCATCGCAATTTCAATCAATATTGCCCCGTACCAATGGGATTCAATCACGAAATGTTAACACACAGCGATCGCACTGGTGACTATATCTATTGGATACTAGTTTACTTCACCGAAGATGACCGTAACTCCGTCACTCTCTACAACACAATAAGATGTCTAATATGCACCAGCTTACGTACTCCCCGTACAGTCGGTGATCTTTTTGCTTTCTTCCTCTGTGCTGGGTTTTTCTTGAAAAATGGTGATGTCGACAAAAAAATACCATGGAGCACTGAATCTACAAAGTTTACCACCGCAGTTCAAACCCTAGCTAGAACTCAACATGCCGGTGGCTCCCACTCCGCCGACCTTAACAGCCTCCATATCTGCACCACAGGCAAAACCTGTGGCCAATACCTCCAATCGCTCTCCTATAGTATCTATCGCAATATTTCTAAAACTTTCGCTATGTCCTATCTATCACGTATTGTGTATCTCACGGATGTTTTCGAAAAAGGTCTTGAAGAATTACTTACAGAGTTCAACAACCTCAGTTGCGAAAATTGTGTCTGCAAAGGATGCAAATCCAACAACAATTGTCACATTAACGTTGGCAACTGTCACTGTCCCACCATCGTCCAATGTCACAATGTCCTACCCCTTTTCTTCAAATTCGGCTTCACATTTTCAATGGCCGATGCATTGAATGGAAAATACAATGCCAACACCTCCTACAAACGCACCTGCTCCCAATTCTCCACGCAACTCACAAAAGTCATCACCGGCGAACCATTCGAACAACTCCTCTCAGTTATCAACAAATTCCTCCTTTGCATCCGCCAACCCTTCCTCCTGTACCTCCTAACGTTCTGGATTGTAGCCATTCTATACTTCACCTACGGTCTTACAATACCACTCGACGTTCTACACCTACGTTCACATTGGAGACCCGCTTTGTCACATCAAATATCGGTGTTGGCGTTATTATCACACAAGGCAATGTCTCCAACAAAGGTTGGATATTTCAACCCATAAGGTGTCATCACATATCAATCTAATGTTATTAAATGTATGTTTGTGTGTATTAGGCAGATTGATGGTTTCACAAAAATTTCATGTTCTACACCCCTTCCGCATGCACGGCACAGATATTCAGATAAAGTGTGTGGCTAGCTACCCCATCGAAGATGTGTGGAGAAACACACTACATGGTAGACATCGTAGTGAAGATGAAGACATACAAATAGAACCGTAGGTGAAGTCTGTTGTTGTGTTAAGGCGGAAGACGCCGAGGTTGGATACAATCT